TAGAAGCTTGGCAATGATGCCTCCGGCAACACACACTTGAAGTACTCAAGTTCTTTTGCGAGCGACTGTATCTCATGAGCCTGCTGTACAACAGGGCGCTCATCAGTCATCTTGTAGTCATAGAATTGCTCCATGACGTACAACTCGTTGCCGGCGTCCGAGGCACCAAACTTGGCCTCGAGCGCAGCCCACATGTCCTTGCCGTTGTCAAACGACATATACGAATCCACAATGGAGTCATCAAGAACACTCAGAAGAGCGCCTTTAAAGAGGGTATCGATCTTCTCAAAAGCTTCCTGCTGTGCTGGATTAAGATCGCCCTCAGGCTTGCCCTTGGTGGCATCATAGCAGCCCATGGTCTGAAACCAGTAGACTGCTCTCGTGCGCCACCTCTTATATTGCGCCCCCTTAAAGGCAGGCGGCTTCAGATGCGCAGCAAAACCACTCGGAGTAAATTGCCTATAATCAGGTTTTTGGATTGTTGGAAATATGAGCAAATTACTACGAGATTTAATCCGAATAAGCAGAAGATAAATCATGACCACAGCAGCAAAGATTAAACTAATCATGCGAACTAGCATAGCAGATGAACATATCACATCTAGGGCACATACTAGAAGCATGAATTCTACCACGATCTCGAACAGGAAGGATAGAATCACATACGGTGCAGCGGGTGCAGCACCGCCGGCGTTGACGTTGTCGCCCATGTCGTCGAGGATGAGGTTACCGAGGTCGGGGAAGAAGTCATCATTCGCGAAGTCGTCGCTGCCAGCAGTCGCGCGAGTGCGCTCCCCAAAAACCTGATCGCCCCTCTCCCGTACAGGATCACGAGAGGCGGGGTTCCGGAGGCCTGCTGTCCCTTCTCGCGGTGCACGCTGGAAGGAGGGATGGAGAAGACTTGCTTGGCGGCGCAATGATCTGGAACAGTGGTAAGAAACCATACGAAGCGGCGGCGGCTAGGGTAGACGTCTGCCTGACTATATAGTGCGGGCCGGGTAGGTCGTGGGAGTAAACCCCACGTCCGAGTCGTCACGATCCAAAAGAATCGGAAACGGTTCAGTAATTAACGCGTCCGTTAATTATTAATTAATGACTCATTAATTTTCCCATGCAGCGCGTCGTGACGAGGCGTGACGTGGTGTGGCGTGGCGTGGCGAGGCGAGCGAGGAAGAGGAGCGCGCGTGTAGGTCTCCTCTTCTTATGCTCATACAAGTGGTAGAAGAGCTCACCTTATAAAGAAGTGCAACTCTCTCTCAACTTTCGGGGTGGGACTAAATTTTAGCCTCACTCACTCCACTCACATGTGTGCATGAATGGGCCAAGAGAATTTCAAAATTTTAGTTGGGCTTTGGGCCAAAGGCCTACTAGCAAAATTCCAAACAACACATGTTCCTAATGCAGTGTAGATGAACTTATAACATGATAATTGATTGATACATGCATGGCTTACAGGCTTAGCCTTGCACCTGTACCTAATGCAGTGGAGATAAACATGCATGTGAGCCTTTTTTTTCGAGGCTGCATGTGAGCCTGGATTCCAGAAAATACAGCTAGCGATTGTCCATTGGATTCCATGGACCAAACCCCTTTCGAGGCCCGAAAGGTGAACCACATCACGAGATGCCCCCAAGGAGACAATGATGCTAATCTAACTGTAACTTGCTCCCAACACAAGCATATGGACCAGTCACTTCCAGCACACATCAAATTTTTGAACACGGCCCACGAATTAATCATTGTCCTTTTTTCTACGGCCTTGTCTCCCTGGCTAGAGGCATCACTGTTGATTGGGCAAAATGGTATGATATCCCATTGTCCTGTTCAAGGATAGTGTTCTCTTTGGCAGCCATTTCAACAATTCTGCACCCCGCAAAAAAAGAGAAGAAAAACTCTCGCAACAAGTTGACACAGGGAGAAGATAGTATTGCTCTCTTCAAACTTGCCCATAAGGATGGCAATGGATCGGGTTTGGATCGGGTTGAACAATCTCAAATCCATATCCATGTCCATGAAGACAGTCTTTGTCCGCCCATAAAAAAAATTCATGGGTGAAAAATTGTGTCCATGTCCAAATCCGATGAATATCCATACCCATTGGATATCCATTGGATCATCTCGAGACATATAAATAAGATATAACACAATATTAACATAAACTCTTCCATTCTTCACCTTGTGATAGGCTAGGCTTCACTTATGGTAAATCAACATCCACTAACAACCTAAGATCATATAGTATTTTTCTAACAGATGAGAATGACGAGTCATTTAAGAAGGAGGTAAAAATAAGGGAAGGGGTGTTGGAGTATGTTATAGAGGGGATTGAATGTCAACTACAAAAAGTTACGATGAGGATTGTGTAATTTCTTATGCATGTTTTAGATTAAAAAAGTGTAAAATTGTTGTGGGACATATGACCATGGGGCAGGGATAGCAGATTTTCCTCCATTAAGTCATACTATCGGGTCAGGTTTGGGTATATCCATGGATACAAGATTATATCCATGCCCTATCCACGAACAATTGGGTCGGGTTTGGGTGCCGCCCATGGACACAAAAGCATATCCAAACCCTATCCATTCGGTTCGGATATCCATGTCCATGGATACAATTGCCATGCTTACTTGCCCACACACGGAGATCGCTGCAAGCATAAAACCAAAAGATGGGAGGAGAACAATCTTGTTTCTTGCCAACGGGTCACTAGAAGCCGTTGATCCATTTGTAGGCCAGATAAGAGCATCAAAGCGGCAAGTCCACGTCCTTTTATTTAGGCCTTTTCACTATGTTACCGGCGCGGCGGCGGCACATTGGTCAAGAAAATGTCACATCATCACCAATGCCTGAAAAAAAGTTATAGCACCAGCTTCACCATGTAGGGCACCATTTTTTGTGTGTGTGTGGAAATCCTTATAAAATAATTGACAAACAAGTCCATTGATCTAGCTGCCAGGGCCATTCGAGCCAGCTTTGGAGAATTTGGCACCAGAGCACCTACTTGCTTCGATGCCTGGAGTTGTGTTTGTGGCTCCGGTTGGACAATGTAGGGCATCGGTGCTCAAAGACTAGACACCAATTTTGGTCTACATAGTGCAGGGCCTTATACACCTTGTAGCTGCAGGGATGCGAAGAGGCCGAGCGAGGACCCCTCGAGTTGAGCTGAGCTAGCTCAAGGGCAAAGAGGGTTGCAAGGGGCACATGCTCCCCCTCCCATGCTCCTTGTGGAGTAGCCGGGGTGCGGGGAAAGGGGATGGAGTCATTGTGAGAGACCAACATGTTGGGTCGGTGCAGACTGTAGACGCGTGTCAAGTTTCTCATCTTGTTTTTCTTTCTTTTTTCTTTTTGTGGGGGGTCGCTCCTGTTGTTTTCAACATTGTACTTTTTTCCTTCATCTATATAAAAATTTCTTGTTGTTTCTTCTTTTTGGTTTCATATAATAATTAATATACCTCTAAAACCCAATATAATTTATAAAGAATAGATATTTATCGGTCATGCTCTCGAAGAAAGAAGGGGTCATGCTATTTATTTATTCCACCTTTCATGTACCCCCTTGCATTTTTTCTTCTAAATTTTGTTCAACCTCATATCACCTAGAACAAGTCATGGACTTTTTCACTGGAAGAAAGTCTCATGGACACTTTCTCAAGCAAATAAGAACAATACAATAGTGAGTAATGGTACGTGATGAGATCACTGCTAATGAATGGTGGGAGTGTGAATAATGTTGTGGATTTGAGCTCTATTTTCCTCTCGGCACTTCAAATTTTCTTCTTATCTCTCGTTCATGTTTTCTTTGTCATGTAACGCTTCATGCTCTCGGGCCGAACGGTCTTGACTTATTTGTAGTCTGATTGGTTTTCAGTCAGTTTCTATATCAGTACTCAATTCTTAATAAAAAATCAAAATAAAAATCATATATCTGAAAAAAAGTTCGTCCCAAATTTGATTGTTTTCCATCAATTTATAAAAATATCCATATTTTTAAATGTTCATGATTTTCAAAAACTTTATGAATCTTAAAATGGTCATGGAATTAAAAATTGGTGCTAGCTTACAGATTTAGTGTGTTTCCTCTTGTTTGCCTGGTAAGGATTTTTTCCCTCTCCCCTCTCTTATTCTTTTGTCATCATGATTTTCATAAAAACGCCTCAAATATCACATCTCTTATTGCCTTACCCAAAAAATTATGTTCTTATCAAATAAAATCCTACTTTTACATGACCACATTAAATTGGGAAACTAAATCGGTGCCAATATACCAGACTATTTATAACCTATTGCAACGCACGAAGAATCCTGTCGATACAAATTTATGCCCCGCAATTTACACTTTTCCAAGTTCAGTAACTAAAATGATCTTGTTGAGAAGTTTCTGTACATGTCTTCATAATTATCAGGGAAATTTAGGTGAAACCGACTCCATATTCCGTGGATCTAAACATAACAAAAAACTAGTTCCTCCGTTCACAAATATAAGATGCTCTAGTGAATCGACTGTACACAAACACATTATTAAACAGTTTATATTAAAATATTCAAAATATATTATATTTAGAATGAAGAGAGTACTGTATTTGACTATTCTTTCCAGCATATACACCTTAAACATTTATGGGTGTGCGCGCACGATTGCGTGTTCTAACGTGGATGTCAAAGCTGACAACGAAATCCGACAGAAGTGCCAACAAGATGAAAAAACAAAACAAAAATCAGTTACAAAATGTTGGAACACCTTGCTTTCCAAAGTTAGAAAAAATTGAAACAACTCTGCTTATTGCATCTTAGGCGTATGTGTAATTTTACATGGGCAGCAAATTATTCAGCCATTCCCCGAAGAAAAGAAAAATGAGACGCAAGCAAATCCTGAACCTACTTACAGAGAAGAATGAGGAAGAAAAGAAAGAATCGTGGCTCTTGCTTCAAGACAGGAAACACGTCGACAGTAATAATTCCCAAGACAAAAATGGTGCTGGCTTTCAGCTTGAGCTTGAGCTTCAGTGCGTCTTGCTCTTCTTGGCGAGGTGAGGAAACGCGCCGAGGATGTTGTGCGCCCGCAGGTCCTGCCTCGTCAAGATCCCCACAAGCGGAGATATCTGCACACCAAAATGGATCCATCATCAAATCCAAATCCAAATGTGCAAGAACAGTTTGATGATGCTTGAAAAGCCATTGGAGTTGATTTTGGACTCACCTCGGGGCCCTGGTACTTGGGCATGATGAGCATGTGCCGGAGCGCGACGGAGCGGAAGAGCACCACGGCCTTGGCCACCGACATGGTCTCCACCACGGTGTAGGGCGTCGTGTTGGTGAACGGGTGGAGGTCGATGTACATCTCCAGCTCCTCCGGCGTCAGCTCCAGGCCGTCGATCTTGCAGTTCTTGTCGGCGAGCTCCACCGACGAGAACCGCTCCCTGGCCTCCCACTCCTCCGTCCTCCTCTTCTCCAAAAGGAACCACCGCTTCCTCAGCACCGCCACGAGGTGCGACCGGAGGACCAGCCCGTGCAGCTCCGACAGGCCGGGCCGCGGCCGGTCCACCACCGGGAACCCGTTGTGGCCGGTGTTCCGCAGCACCTCCAGGACGGTGGACACCTTCTCGACGACCTGGAGGCTGATGGTGCGCGGCTTGGCGGCGGCGAGCTCGCCCACGGTGAGGTCCTTCATCCACGGCTCCGGCTTGGGTTCTAGGAAGGGCAGCCCCTTGAGGTCCAGGATGATCTCGTAGATGCTGGGGTTGAAGGCGTCGCCGACGGTCTTGGCGATGAGCAGCACGAACATGGTCATGGGGAGGAGGAGGAGGTTGTTGGTGAGCTCCAGGAAGATGACGCAGAGCGAGACGGTCATCCTCATGGATCCCGACATGAGCGCCGCCGCGCCGAGCACGGCGTAGAGCCCGTGGTCGATGCTCGCCGCCACCGTGCTCTGGAGCACGAGCGCCACGATGCGGCCGTAGGCGGCGCCCATGAGGATGATGGGGAGGAAGAGCCCCGACGGCACGGCGATGCCGAAGGTGAAGAGCCCCAGCACGCAGTAGATGGCGAAGAAGATGAGCAGCGAGTCCAGCCGGAACTCGCCGGGGGTGCCCGTGGAGAAGATGTTGCGCGTCGCGTCCACGTTGGTGGCGTGCAGGAGGGTGGCCAGGTCGTTGTACTGCCCGGCGGGGCAGTTGAACTGCTTGAAGTTGCCGCTCCTCCCGGTGGCCGGGCACGCGGCGCCGAACGCCGGGTCGCACGGCGTGCACGGCACGGCGAACGGGAGCACGTACAGCCCCGCCGACGTGAACACGCACACGGCCAGCGCCAGCGCCAGCTTCGCCATCCGGCCCTTGTCGTTGATGAGGTTGTAGAGGCGGAGCACCATGTGGAGGACGTGGTTGTAGAGCGCGCCGAGGACGCCGCCGATGACGCCCACGAGCGTGACCAGGAGGAGGTCGCCCAGCCGGTACCGGACGGTGACGTCGCTGACGTCGAAGATGATGAGCCCGCCCTCGCCGAAGAGGCCGCACCGCCCCCCGCGGCACACCTCGATGAAGCCGCGCAGCACCACCACCACGGTGGCCGTGCTGAAGAAGGTGCGCCACAGCAGCGCGCTCCGCCACCACGTCGCCACCTCCTCCAGCGCGAACAGCACGCCGCCCACGGGCGACCGGAACGCCGCGCACACGCCCGACGACGCGCCGCAGGTGATGAGGTCCCGCCGGTCGCGGTCGTTGTTGAAGTAGCGCAGCCACCTCCAGCGGAGGCGGAACCGGCCGGAGCCGCCCTGGCTGAGCAGGTTGGCGAGGCAGGCGCCGATGTGCACCAGCGGGCCTTCCTTGCCGAGATCCAGCCCCGACGACACCGCGCAGATGCTGCCTATGATCTGACCAAAGTACGGAAAAAATTCCATCCATTAATGTCTCTCTTGCAGCTTCGAGTATTCGCGTCACGCATTCCAAATGCAGAAAGGAATCAAGGCTTTATTATTAGTACCTTGACAATGAGCTGCGGCGCGCCGAACATGTTGGGCGTGTCGACGCCGTTGAGGTAGGCCTTGATCTCGGGGATGCCGGGGCCGGCGGCGGTGGGGGCGAAGACGACGCAGAGCACGGCGGCGATGAACGTCAGCACGAAGTTGAAGCCGGAGAAGTAGAAGAAGCCGGCCCAGTACCTGAATGCACAGATCGAACATAATCAATTCCCCGACCAGCAGCTCTGGTCCCGCCGTCTGTAGATAGATCTCGCCGTACCTCTTCTCCCTGACGAGGTGGACCATGTGGAGCATCTTGAGGCCGGAGATGTTCTCGATGGCGAGGTTGATGAGCGACGCGATGACGCCGGTGAGGAGCCCCACCAGGAACGCCAGCGACCACTTGAGGAAGATGTACTGCAGCACCTCCACGTTGGACCGGCTCCTCCAGTCGTGCTTGAACAGATCGTTCTCGATGATCCTGCGGACATGGCGGCTCAATTCACTAAGCAAGCCAACCAAATTGCACGAACAGAGTTGTAAGCTGGCACCCAAGGATGGATCGAGCGGTGGAATACTCACTCGTAGTCGAGGCTCTCGATGTGCGAGACCTTGGCGCCGACCATGGCGAGGTGGCTGGAGGTGAGCGTGTTGCTTCTCTTCAGCAGGGGCTTCTCCAGGGAGCTGATGCCGTCGCCGGCGCTCCCTGCAGGGTCCTCCGGGCTGTCGCCGACGCCATTGCCGTGCTTGAGACCAGGCGTCTCTCCGGCGAGCCCGAGCCCCGGGCTCTGGTCTTCCTCCATGCCTGTCCTGGCCGGCAACAGACCAGAGCTTTGTGGCCGGCCTGTTTCTTGGACCAGCTTGATCCGATCAAGATCTCAAGGTCAGGTCAAGGAGGATGGGATTGGCGTATGTATGTGCCCGTATATAAATGGGATCACGTGGACTTGCCGCGGCAATGCTCTTATCTGGCAGTTTATCTGTCTGGTCCGGCCCGCAAGTGGATCAACAACCAGTGGTGACCCGTGGAAGAAGAAGAAGAGGAAGAAGAGGAAGAGAATTATTTCCTGTATTTCTTATGCTTGTAGCGATCCGAGTACGTGGGCAAGCTTGGAGACAGCGAAGTGAAATGATCTGCTTGCTTGTTGGCAGAGAGATAAGACCGTGGAAGGAGGGGCAATGATTAACTTCGTGGGCCCCGACCGAGGGGGAAAATGCCATGTGGGTTGAAAGTGATTGGGCGATGCTTATGTTCCAAGTTACGGTTAGAGTAGTATCATTGTTCTTCTTGTTGTGGTGCATCATCTCATCATGTGTTGTTTACCCTTTTGGCATTGGAAGGGCTTTGGTCCATGGAATCTGATGGGCACTGGCTTGGCTAGCTGTGTTTAATGGAATCTAGGCTCGTATGCATGTTCATCTCCATGGTTTCACATGGGCAAAAGGAATGAACATTTTGGTGTTACGGATGTATCAACCGAGGCACATGAGCGACCATTCAATTTGAAGTTATTTAGGTTTTCACTAGACACCAGGCGTCATGGGCGGCGGTCCGATCTGCACAAACTCCGGCCTGCTCCTCCTTGCAGCTACTAGAGGCCATCGTCGGGAGAAGTCTGTGCGGCGGTGGCGGTGACGGAGGATCTCTGTTCTCGCATCGAGATGGCGGATGGCCGCTCCTCATATGGCGGCTGGCGGCATGGTAGCATCGAGACGGTGGATGGCGGATCCCTGGTGGCGAACATCAGATCTTCAGATGGCGAGGGTTGCCGGCATGCTCTCCGTCGATCAAAAGCAGATCAATTTAATTGGGTAGCAACACCCAAGAAGTGCCGTTTGTCGTGCTTCAGGTGGCATCTTGCCGGTGGTGGTCGGCTTCAGATGGTGATAACCACGACAGCCGACTGCCATCTGACGCGGTGTGTCTTTGATAACCACGGCAGCCGACTACCACCGGCAGGCGACATCTCTCTATTCTCATGCGTGTGCACGCTCTGGGGGGATGTGTTCCAACCGCTCCTGATTGTTGCATCCGCTGATGCCTAGCACAAGGCACCAGGATGCATGCCCTCTACTTTTGTTCCCAATCAGCTACAACCAGGCCATGAAGCCATCTTGCCGGTGGTAGTCGGCTGCCGTGGTTATCGAAGACACACTGTGTCAGATTGGCGATGACTTGAGGATGGCTTGGTGGTTTAGTCAGCGAAAACAATGACGCGACGGTAACAACGAGTGACCAGTTGAAGAAGTGCGGCAATTGAGTGGGGTGGTAATGTACGGCTTGCCCCATCTTGGTGTCATCGTTATCATCGCATCATGCTTTGGAGCACAGGCGCGGGGATGAGGTTGTGACGGAGCGAAAATCGTCAGTACCCTCAGTAGGGTGCCGAGCGCGACTGAAAGTACCAGTGGAGCCCACATACACAATTTACCCAGGTTCAGGCCTCCAGTGAGGAGTAATACCCTACGTCTAGTTTGTGATTATTATTCATGGTGGGGTACCTTATGTGAGGGATTACAATGGTGGGTTTAGATGCTACCGAGAGTTTAATCTATGAGAAAAGATGTGCCAGAGAGCCCCATAGCCCTCCACCTTATATACAAAATGGGGGCTAGAGTTTTACATAGAGGAGATGCCATCTTGGCCGGCACCCTGATGACTTGAGGGCCAAGATGGTCCTGGAGGGGCATGTTGGTCGCCTGGGGATCCCTTTTTTCTTTGACACCTTGGTAGGCCTTGCAGGCCCCTTGTCGGATCTGCTGACAGGCTCCCCCGTCGAAGGCCATCCCCGGTGTATGACACCGTCATGTTGCTACAATATTCGGCTCTGTTGTGGGTTTTGGGGAATCTCACTTCGTCTAGTTTGCTTTCTATGGCGAGATGCAATCAATGGATGACTATTTGACGTAGAGGATATGGTTGTGCAACAATAGCGGTGGGATTTCTATGTCAGCGCATGTACTCCCTCCGGTCCTTTTTACTCTGCATATTAGAATTCTCTGAAGTCAAACTTCACAAAGTTTGACCGTATTTATATATAAAAATATCAACATCTGCCATGCTAAAGTTATATAATATGAAACTTTAAGTCATGACACATCTAGTGGTATTGATTTCAGATTGTGAATGTTGGCACTTTTTTCTACAAAGTTGGTCAAACTTTACGAGGATTGACTTCAGTCAAATCTTATATGCGAACTAAAAAGGACCGAAGGGAGTAGTTGCTGGGATCGCACAAAAAATGGTGACAACAACACATGATTGACTCTGATTTTTAGTGCTTTTTGAGTACCTGGTCTTGAGCTCTGAGGTGAAAAACCTAGGTCTGACCCTAGTGGGTTATACTTGGCGATGACGATGTTTTACATCGTTACCATGTTGAAGGCATTGCTTGAACTTGTTCTTCAGGCTGAAAACCTTGAACCAGGCCTATGATTATTGGACCCAGTGACGCCGACGCCTGAGCGCTGTTTCCTTGTTGAAGGTGTCGTTGTTGAAGAACATCGTTACCCTTGTGGCCTCAAGAGATGGTTGGTGACACGTCCATTTTGCATCATGCTTTCATATCGATATTTATTGCATTGTGGGCTGTTATTACACATTATATCACAATACTTATGCCTATTCTCTTTTATTTTACAAGGTTTACAAGAAGAGGGAGAATGCCAGTAGCTGGAATTCTGGGCTGGAAAAGGAGCAAATATTAGAGACCTATTCCGCACAACTCCAAAAGTCCCGAAACTTCACGGGAGCACGTTTCAGAATATATGAAAAATATTGGGCGAAACAAGTACCAGAGGGGGGCCACCCACCGTCCACGAGGGTGGGGGCGTGCCCCCTCCCTCGTGGGCCCCCTGGCAGCCCTCTGATGCCCATCTTCTGCTATATGAGGTCTTTCGTGGAGGAAAAATCATAAGCTAGCTCACGGGACGAAACTCCGCTGCCACGAGGCGGAACCTTGTCAAAACCAATCTAGGGCTCCAGCGGAGCTGTTCTGCCGGGGAAACTCCCCCCCCCCGGAGGGGGAAATCATCACCATCGATCCTCTCATCGGGAGAGGGTCAATCTCCATCAACATCTTCACCAGCACCATCTCATCTCAAACCCTAGTTCATCTCTTGTATCCAATCTTTGTCCCAAAGCCTCAGATTGGTACGTGTGGGTTGCTAGTAGTGTTGATTACTCTTTGTAGTTGATGCTAGTTGGTTTATTCAGTGGAAGATCATATGTTCAGATCCTTTATGCATATTAATACCCCTCTAATTATGAACATGAATATGTTTTGTGAGTAGTTACGTTTGTTCTTGAGGACATGGGAGAAGTCTTGCTATAAGTAGTCATGTGAATTTGGTATTCGTTTGATATTTTGATGAGATGTATGTTGTCTTTCCTCTAGTGGTGTCATGTGAACGTGGACTATATGACACTTCACCATTGTTTAGGCCTAGAGGAAGGCATTGGGAAGTAATAAGTAGATGATGGGTTGCTAGAGTGACAGAAGTTTAAACCCTAGTTTATGAGTTGCTTCGTAAGGGGCTGATTTGGATCCATATGTTTCATGCTATGGTTAGGTTTACCTTAATACTTTTTTTGTAGTTGCGGATGCTTGTAAGGGGGGTTAATCATAAGTGGGATGCTTGTCCAAGGAAGGACAGTACCCAAGCACCGGTCCACCCACATGTCAAATTATCAGAGTACGAAACGCGAATCATATGAGCGTGATGAAAACTAGCTTGACGATAATTCCCATGTGTCCTCGAGAGCGCTTTCCTTTATATAAGAGTTTGTCCAGGCTTGTCCTTTGCTACAAAAAGGATTGAGCCATCTTGCTGCACCTTATTTACTTTTATTACTTGTTACCCATTACAAATTACCTTATCACAAAACTATCTGTTACCGATAACTTTAGTGCTTGCAGAGAATACCTTACTGAAAACTGCTTATCATTTCCTTCTGCTCCTCGTTGGGTTCGACACTCTTACTTATTGAAAGGATTATGATAGATCCCCTATACTTGTGGGTCATCAAGACTCTTTTCTGGCGCCGTTGCCGGGGAGTGAAGCACCTTTGGTAGGTGGAATTTGGTAAGAAAAAATTTATATAGTGTGCTGAAATTTACTGTCACTTGTTACTATGGAACATAATCCTTTGAGGGGCTTGTTCGGGGTATCTTCACCCCGACACTACAAAAAAAAGACACATCCGTGACATTTTGGGTCGAACAATTTTTTCTATCATACATATGACACTTCTATGACGATAATTGTGATAAAACCCGGTATCATCATATATGTGGTGGGCTCCTACTTCTATGACAAAAAATTATGACAGAAAATGGGCTTTTCGTCCTGGGCGGGCCGGAGACGCAGCTGCATGACATTCTTTGGGCCGTCCATGACGGAAAAAATCGTGGTAGAAGCGAGGGCGGGAAAAATTTCGGGGAGTTCCCGGTTACGATGGGAGGTCGGGGCCGAGCGATGCGCGCTTCTCTCGTACACGTACGCGCACGTGTGCGAGGCGTTGACTCTAACTGAACCCGAGCGAGGCGTTGGGCTCTAACTGAACCCGAGCGATTGCACTGCAGGCTACGCATTACTGAACCCGAGCGATCGATCGATGGCTGTTAACTGAACCCGATCGAGCGATTCCTTCGCTACTGCTGCTAACTGAAGCCGATCGATGCTGTCTCTGGATGAACAGTGAGCGTTGCAGGGGGGGTGGATGAACAGTTCCCGGTGGGGGTGGATGAACAAGACCCCGTGGTGTTGCCTCTGGATGAACAGGACCCCGATCGATCGAGCC